CAGGCTGGAGTGCAGTGGCGCAATCTCAGCTGACAGGAACCCCTGCCTCCTGGGTTCAAGCAATTCTCCTGCCTCAGCCTCCTGAGTAGCTAGGATTACAGGTGCCCGCCAGCACGCCTGGCTAATTTTTGTATTTTTAGTAAAGACGGTTTTTCACCATGTTGACCAGGCTGGTCTTGAACTCCTGACCTCAGGTGGCCTCCCAAAGTGCTGGGATTACAGGCATGAGCCACCGCACCCGGCCTTTTTTTTTTTTTCCTTGAGATGAAGTCTTGCTCTGTCACCCAGGCTGGAGTGCAACGGCGCGATCTTGGCTCACTGTAACACCCTTCTCCTGGGTTCAAGCTATTCTCCTGCCTCAACCTCCTGAGTAGCTGGGATTACAGGTGCCTGCCACCATGCCTGGCTTATTTTTGTATTTTTAGTTGAGATGGGGTTTCACCATTTTGGCCAGGCTGGTCTCGAACTCCTGACCTCAGGTGATCCACTCGCCTAGGCCTCCCAAAGTTCTAGGATTACAGGTGTGAGCCACCGCCCCTGGCCCTTGTTCATTCTCTCTTTTTTTTTTTTTTTTTTTTTTTTTTGAGATAGAGTTTTGCTCATGTTGCCCAGGCTGGAGTGCAATGGCACGACCTCGGATCACCGCAACCTCTGGCTCCCGGGTTCAAGCAACTCTCCTACCTCAGTCTCCCGAGTAACTGGGATTACAGGCATGCACCACCAGGCCTGGCTAATTTTTTGTGTTTTTAATGTAGACAGTGTTTTTCCATATAGGTCAGGCTGGTCTAGAACTTCTGACCTCAGGTGATCTGCCCGCCTTGGCCTCCCAAAGTGCTGGGATTATAAGCGTGAACCACCATGCCCAGCCTATTCATTCTTTATAACTACTTTTTGTGGTATCCGTTAGACCTCCTCACCTCCACTCCATCCCCATGATATTTAGAGCCCAGAAAGACTGAACATAGTATCCCTTGCCTTCCTAGAAATTTTTCCTAAAGAAATAATCAGATGTAGAAAAGGATTGTGTACAGGAATGTTTACTGTCATATTCTTTTTATAAGATTGAAAACCTGAAATATTAATAACACCAAGCAGTTACTGAGCTGTTACCATGGTCCAGTTGCTGTGCTAAATGCTTTCTAAGCATTGTCTTGTTTCATCTTTTCGAGAAGGTTATATTATCATCTCCATTTTATAAATAAATAAAGAAATAGAAGCACTGAAAGGTTAATCATTTGCCTGAGACAAAATAATTAGTAAGTAGAGGAGACAGATGTGTAAATGACAGCAATAACACATTATGGTAAACATTAAAATAGAAATAATGGTTCATTCCTGGTTTTCAGCACACACAAAAAAGGAAAAATAATATGAGCAACAATCAGTAGACAATGCAAAGTACTATTATCATTATACACAGTGTGTATTCAAGTGCTTAAAATAAAGCACTGCACAAAGTGAGCACTTAAAATGGTTGTTATTATTTGCACCTCCAACTTTTTTTTTTTTTTTCCCAGACGGAGTCTCCCTCTGTCGCCCAGGCTGGAGTGCAGTGGCTCGATCTCAGCTCACTTCAAGCTCCGCCTCCCAGGTTCAGGCCATTCTCCTGCCTCAGCCTCCCGATTAGCTGGGACTACAGGGGCCTGTCACCACGCCTGGCTAAATTTTTGTATTTTTTTTTTTTATTAGAGATGGAGTTTCACTGTGTTAACCAGGATGGTCTCAATCCCCTGACCTTGTGATCCGCCCACCTCGACCTCCCAATGTACTGCGATTACAGGTATGAGCCACCGTGCCCAGCCTATTTGCACTTCAAACTTTAATGTGCCCACATATAACTTAGGAATCTTGTTAAAATTCAGATCCTGAATCAGTAGGTCTAGTAGACCTGAGATTCGGTATTTTATTTTATTTATTTATTTATTTATTTATTTTGAGACCAAGCCTCACTGTCACCCAGGCTTGTGTGCACTGGAGTGATCTCAGTTCACTGCAACCTCCGCCTCCCAAGTTCAAGTGATTCTCCTGCCTCAGCCTCTGGAATAGCTGGGATTACAGGCATGTACCACTGCCAGGCTAATTTTTTCATTTTTAGTAGAGACAGGATTTCTCCACGTTGGCCAGGTTGGTCTTGAACTCCCGACCTCAGGTGATCTGCCTGCCTTAGCCTCCCAAAGTGCTGGAATGAGATTCAGCATTTCTTTTTTCTTTTCTTTCTTTCTTTTTTTTTTTTGAGATATAGTCTCACTCTGTCACCAGGCTGGAGTGCAGTAGCCCGATCTTGGCTCACTGCAACTTCCCCCTCCCGGGTTCAAGCTATTCTCCTGCCTCAGCCTCCCTAGTAGCTGGGACTACAGGTACCCGCTACCACTCCCAGCTAATTTTTGTATTTTTAGTAGAGACGGGGTTTCACCATGTTGGCCAGGATGGTCTCAATCTCTTGACCTCATGATCCGCCAGCCTCAAGCCTTCCAAAGTGCTGGGATTACAGCACTTTTGTTTTTTTTACTGAGACGGAGTCTCACTCGGGCTGGGTGCGGTGGCTCTCTCTAAGGTGAGAGCCACCGCAACCAGCCTGAGTTTCAGCATTTCTAACAAGCTTCCAGGTAAAGCCTGCACTGCTGGTCCAAGGACCACACGTGGAGTACAAGGGATTATTAAATAACTTGGTGAAATGGGAGAGTCCTGTGTATGTAAAACGAAAACAAATCACACGCCAGGCGTGGTGGCTCACGCCTGTAATCCCAGCACTTTGGGAGGCTGAGGCGGGCAGATCACGAGGTCAGGAGATCGAGACCATCCTGGCTAACATGGTGAAACCCATCTCTACTAAAAATACAAAAAATTAGCCGGGCGTAGCGGTGGGCGCCTGTAGTCCCAGCTACTCGGGAGGCTGAGGCAGGAGAATGGCGTGAACTGACAGGCGGAGCTTGCAGTGAGCTGAGATCGCTCCACTGCAGTCCAGCCTGGGCGACTGAGCGAGACTCCATCTCGGAAAAAAAAAAAAAGAGAGTCTCACTCTGTTGCTCAGGCTGGAGTGCAGTGGTGCAATTTTGGCTCACTGCAATCTCTGCCTACTGGGTTCAATAGATTTTCCTGCCTCAGCCTCCAGAGTAGCTCGGATTACAGGCATGAACCACCATGCCTGGCTAATTTTTCTATTTTCAGTAGAACCCGGGTTTCACTATGTTGGCCAGGCTTGTCTTGAACTCCTGACCTCAGGTGATCCACCCACCTCAGCCTCCCAAAGTGCTAGGATTACAGGCGTGAGCCACTGCACCCAGCCCAGATCTTCTTTTTTAACAAGGTTAAAAATGTTTAAAAATAAAAATTCCAGGCCAGGTGCAGTGGTTCATGCCTGTAATGCCAACACTCTGGGAGGCTGACACAGGTGGATCACTTGAGGTCAGGAGTTTGAGACCAGCCTGGCCAACGTGGTGAAAACCCATCTTTAGTAAAAAGACAAAAGTTGAGCCAGGTGCAGTGGCTCACGTCTGTAATCCTAGCACTTTGGGAGGCTGAGGCGGGCAGATCAGCTGAGGTGGGGAGTTCGAGACCAGCCTGACCAATATGGAGAAACCCCGTCTTTCCTAAAAATACAAAATTAGCTGGGCGTGGTGGCGCATGCCTATAACCCCAGCTACTCGGGAGGCTGAGGCAGGAGAATCACTTGAACCCGGGAGGCAGAAGTTGCAGTGAGCCGAGATCACGCCATTGCACTCCAGCCTGGGCAAAAAGTGTGAAACTCTGTCTCAAAAAAAAAAAAAAAAAAAAAGACAAAAGTTAGCTGGGGGTGGTGGTAGCCACCTGTATTCCCAGCTATTCGGGAGACTGAGGCAGGAGAATCACTAGAACCCGGGAAGCAGAAGTTGCAGTGAGCTGAGATTGTGCCACTGCATTCCAGCCTGGGTGATAGAGCCAGAATCTATCTAAAAAAAAAAAAAAAAAAAAATATATATATATATATATATTCTTGCACAGTGAGTAGGGCCTCTGAGTTCACTCCCTGTCTGTTTGTAACCCAAAGGTTTATTATCTTCCAGGTACTCCAAACTCTGACTGTGTCCTGTACACATTCTTAAAGCTCCTTCTACTTTTTGGCATCCCTTAATGCTTTCACACACATGGGCGTCTGCCTCCCTGGGTCAATTCTGACTTCTCAGAGGCCAGGCACTGCATCTGGTTCATCTGGTTGTGTCACTGTGGGATCCCAACCGCCTATCACGTCATGGTATCTGCCTCACAGCCGACTTTTTTTTGCGGGGTCGGGTAGTGGGGAGATGTGGTCTTGCTCTGTCGCCCAGGCTGGAGTGCAGTGGCACCATCTGGGCTCACTGCAGCCTCAATCTCAAGATCTCAAGTGATCCTCTTGCCTCAGCCTCCGAATAGCTGGGACCACAGCCATGTGCCACTCAATATTTGTTGAATGATATAATGACTGAAGGGGATGGGCTTGGCCTTTGGGTAGAACACATTTTGTTTATACTTTTACAGAAGGGATTTTCAGGAAAGGGTAGAGGAGAGGAGGAGGGCTGGTGAGGAGGGCCAGCCAAACCTCCCACATTTCCCTGCTCCAGGTTTCTCCGCATTACCTCCTTACCCTCAAGGCTGGACTTACCGGCTAGGTGAAGCCTGTAGGCTTGGCGTTCAGTTCCTAGATTCTGGGTAGCATGTCTCTATTTTCTCATGTTTCCAATGGGGATCAGGCTAATATTCACCTGGGAACTGTGAGGAGCCCCTGGGAAGAGAGGGCAAGGGGGTTAAAGTGTTTGAGGGGCTGCAGTGATGATCATGGTCTCAATAACCTCCCCTCACCCACCTGACCACTACCCTCCTTGCCCTGCACAGTCAAAGCCCTCGCACTATTTTGAGTAAACTTTGGTGACTCCGTTTTTCCACTCCACAGGGTCTCAAAGTGTGGTCCCTGGGTGCTTGTTGGAAGTGCAAATTCTCAGGCTCCACCCTGGCCTTTCGAATCAGATCCTCTGGGGGCGGGGCCCGGCAATACCAGGTGATGCTAGGGGTGATGCTGATGCCCATCCAAGGTTGAGACCTACTGTTCTACTCTGATGTCAGCTCTCCGAGGGACACCGTGGCCTGCTTTGTTCCCTTCCCTGTCTCCAGTGTCTGGCATCGTGTAGGCGTGTCATAAATATCTGTGGAGTGCATAATAACAGTGATGATAATAGCAGCTGGTCATTGATTGAAGACCTCTTGTGCGACGGTCTCTGCGTTAAACATTTCTGGAGGCTTAACTCATTTAAGGAGCTACCCCAGCCATCATTTTCACAGATGGTGAAACTGAGGTCCAGGGAGGCCAAGCGCCGTACCCAAAGGTCACTCAGCGGGAGAGCTGGCAGGAAACCTCGCGTCTGCCCGCGCCGCCCCCGCCCTTCCCCAGAGCCCGGCGGCCGCGTGTGTCCGCGGCCCTGCGAGGGCGCCCCGGCTCCGGACTTCCCCCGGCGGCCGGGGGAGGAGCGCGCGGCGGCGGCCGTGGCGAAAGTGCGGTTGTGGATGCGCCGAGAGGCCGGCGGCGGCGGCGGCGGCGGCGGAGGAGGAAGCTGAGCAGGGCGGCGGCGGCGGAACCTGCGGGACTGGGGCGCGCGCCATGGGTCGCCTGCACTGCACTGAGGACCCAGTGCCCGAGGCCGTGGGCGGCGACATGCAGCAGCTGAACCAGTTGGGCGCGCAGGTGGGCTCAGCGGCCGGGCGTGGGGCACGCGGCCCAGGTGATTCCGGGAGCGGGGCCTGGGGGCAGGGGAAGTCCGGGGGTGCGCCGGAGTTGGGAGAGACTAGACACAGCGGCGTCTGGTGGGCGTTTGGGTTGTGTGAGGTGGGTTCGAGGCGAGGCTAAGGGGAGCTGGGGTCTGAGGAGAGTGTGGGGAGCCGAGGGATCTCCGGGGGCCTTAGGCCCAGCGGAGGGTTCCGAAAGTCCTTGTGGGGTCTCAGATATGGGACTACGGAACTTTTGCGGGGTCCTGGGGCCGAGGAGAGCTTTTGGGGTCCTAGAAGAGGGACGGAGGGAAGTCTAGATGAGGCTGAAGGAGTTTGGGGAACTGAAGAAACAGACTAAGGGCGTGAGGAGTAGTTTTGGGGAGCAGTGGGGTCCAAAGGGAGATAGATGTTTGGCAGGGAGTCCAAGGAAGCCTAGGGGGAGTGGGAGCGCCCGAGAATCCGAGGGGGCCCGGGGAAGCTCGGCCTGGGCTGCCGTCTTACATCTCAGTGTGACATGAGTGTCAGTAATAGCCAGGCCCCACTGGGGCTCTGTGGGCCTGAGGGGCTGGGTCTGGGTCTGGGGCAAGGCTGATGGCACCTTAACCACCCAGTTAAGGAGAGTCCCTGGGATTCACATGGAAAGAAACCCTATACACTGTGTACAGTGGGGGTCCCCATCCTTGATAGTAGGGGAGCTAGCAAAGGGCTAGCAAAGCCCTTTTCTCTGCATTCAGGCTGCAGGTCCCAACCAAGGCAGCCTCGGACGTCCTGCTTCTGTGCTGGTTGGCATGCCCTTTCATACCACCAAGGCTGCTGAAATACATAGGTGAAAATGACACTTCTCACCCCCACTGGGAAGATACATCTATTTCCCCACTAGGTTGTCACTTCCCAGGAGGTAGGGCCCCTCTCTTTCATCTCCATACCCCCCACAACTTCCCACACAGTCGTGCTGTTTGCGAGATAAAAACCAAATTTACAACTTATAATGACAGGAAGGTTCTAAGCTTGAGCTATGCAATAGAAAAAAATTGCAAGCCACATTTCTAACTTTGCATTTTGTAGTAGCCACATTTAAAAATTAAATAGAAATGGAAATTAATTTTTGTTTGTTTGTTTGAGACAGAGTCTCATTCTGTTGCCCAGGCTGGAGTGCAGTGGCATGATCTCGGCTCACTGCAACCTCTGCCTCCCAGGTTCAACAGTTACCTGTCTCAGCCTCCGGAGTAACTGGGACTACAGACACACGCCACCACGCCCGGCTAATTTTTGTATTTTTAGTAGAGATGGGGTTTCACCATGTTGACCAGGCTGGTCTTGAACACCTGACCTCAGGTGATCTGCCCACCTCAGCCTCCCAAGGGTGTTGGGATTACAGGCGTGAGCCACCATGGCTGACCCTGATTTCATCCTGTGCAAGCATCCTAGAGTTTATTTACATAAACGTACTACACACTAGGATATATGATATAGCCCAATGCTCCTAGGCTACAAACCTATATAGCATGTAACTGCGAGCCGAGATTGCACCACTGCATTCCAGTCTGGGCAATGGAGCAAGACTCACTCTCAAAAAAAAAAAAAACTTTCTAGTTGGGTGTGGTGGCGAGCTACCACAGTAGTCCCAACTACTTGGGAAGCTGAGACAGGAGGATTACTTGAGCCCAGGATTTCAAGGCTGTAGTACACGATGATTCCACCTGTGACTAGCCTTTGCACTCCAGCCTGGGCAGCATAGTGAGACCCCATTTCTAAAAAAATTTTTTTTTCTTTTTTTGATAAGTTTACTTTAGCTTACTGTCACTTTTTTTTTTTTTTTTTTTTTTTTTTTGTAGACGGAGTCTTCCTCTGTCACCCAGGCTGGAGTGCAGTGGCATGATCTTGGCTCACTGCAACCTTCACCTCCCGGGTGACTCAGACTCCCAAGTAGCTGGTACTAGAGGTGTGCACCACCTTGCCTGGCTAATTTTTGTAGTTTTAGTAGAGACAGGGTTTCACCACGTTGGCCAGGCTGGTCACAAACTCCTGATCTCAAGTGATCTGCCTGCCTCAACCTCCCAAAGTGCTGGGATTACAGGCGTGAGCCACTGCAACTGGCCAACTGTAACTTTTTTTTTTTTTTTTTTTTTTTTGAGACGGAGTCTTGCTCTGTCGCCCAGGCTGGAGTGCAGTGGCGCAATCTCTGCTCACTGCAAGCTCTGCCTCCTGGGTTAACGCTATTCTCCTGCCTCAGCCTCCCGAGTAGCTGGGACTACAGGTGCCCGCCACCAGGACCAGATAATTTTTTGTATTTTTAGTAGAGACAGGGTTTCACTGTGTTAGCCAGGATGGTCTCAATCTCCTGACCTCGAGATCCACCCGCCTCGACCTCCCAAAGTTCTGGGATTACAGGCATAAGCTACCGCACCTGGCCCCAACTGTAACTTTTTACTTCATGAACAATTACTTTTTTTTTTTTTTTTTTTTTTTTTTGAGGTAGGGTCTTGCTCTGTCACCCATGCTCACTGCAGCCTCGACCTCCTGGGCTCAAGCAATCTTCCCACCTCAGCCTCCCAAATTGCTGGGACTATAGGTACATGCCACCGCACCTGGCTAATTTTTGTATTTTTTGTAGAGACAGAGTTTTGCCATGTTGCCCAGGCTGGTTTTGTTAAACTTTTTGGAACTTTTGTAGTAACACATAGCTTTTTTTTTTTTTTGAGAGTTTCACCATGTTGGTCAGGATGGTCTTGAACTCCTAACCTTGAATGATCCACCAGCCTTGGCCCCCCAAAGTGCTGGGATTACAGGAGTGAGTCACTGGGCCTGGCCTGAAAATGTTTTTGTGTTTTTTTTTTTTTTTTTTTTTGAGACGGAGTCTTGCTCTGTCACCCAGGCTGGAGTGCAGTGGCCGGATCTCAGCTCACTGCAAGCTCCGCCTCCCGGGTTCACGCCATTCTCCTGCCTCAGCCTCCCGAGTAGCTGGGACTACAGGCGCCCGCCACCTCGCCCGGCTAGTTTTTTGTATTTTTTAGTAGAGATGGGGTTTCATCGTGTTAGGATGGTCTCGATCTCCTGACCTTGTGATCCGCCTGTCTCGGCCTCCCAAAGTGCTGGGATTACAGGCTTGAGCCACTGTGCCTGGCCTTAATACATAGCTTAAAACACAAACATGGCTGGACGCAGATTGCTGTGACAATCACTAGGTAACAGGGATCTTTCAGCTCCATTATAATGTTATGAGACCATCATTTTATATGTGGTTCATCGTTGATCAAAATGCCATGCTTTAATCCACAATATCAAAATATTTTTCAATATCTAACCCATATATAAATATCAATGACATATTTTACTTTTTGGTACGAAGTTTTCTAAATCTGGTGTTTTACACTTACAGCACACCTTAAAGTAGATTAGCCCTTTTCTTTTTAAAGACAGTCTCGCTTTGTCACCCAGCCTAGAGTGCAGGAGTGTGATCTCGGCTCACTGAAACCTCCGCCTACGGGGTTCAAGTGATTGTCATGCCTCAGCCACTCAAGGAGCTGAGATTACAGGCATGCACCACCATGCCCGGCTAATTTTTTCTTGTATTTTTAGTAGAGATGGTGTTTCACCATGTTGGTCAGGGTAGTCTCGAACTTCTGACCTCGAGTGATCCACCCGCCTTGGCCCCCCAAAGTGCTGGGATTACAGGAGTGAGCCACCACCCCTGGCCAGATTAGCCCTTTTTAAATGCTTATGTGGCAAGTGGCCACTGGACAATAGGGATCTAAGTGCTTTTATGTATGTTAACTCATTGAGTCCTTGCAATCACTCTTATAGGTAGTTGCTATTATTATTATTTTAAATTGAGACAAGGTCTCCCTATGTTGTCTAGGCTTGTCTTGAACTCATGGTCTCTGGTGATCCATCTTGGCCTCCCAAAGTGATGGAATTACAGGCATGAGCCACTGCACCCAGCCACTTATTATTATTCACATTTTACAGATGAAGAAACTGAATCACAGAGCAGTTACATGAACATAGCTATTACATGATATTAATATATTGAGCATGCATCATGTGTCCAGGCACCATTTTAAATGTTTTATACATAACAACAAAAAGGAAGGCACTATTATTATTCCCATTTTACAGTTAAGAAAGATGGTTCAGAGAAATAAATTGATCTGTTTAAAGTCATGTAGACAGGAGTTCAAGACTAGCCTAGGCAACATAGCAAGACTCCATCTCTACAATAAGATAAAAAATTAGCCAGGCATGGTGGCACACACCTGTACTCCCAGCTACTCCAGAGGCATAGGTGGGAGGATCACTTGAGTCAGAAATTGGAGGCTGCAGTTAGCTATGATTATGCCACTGCACTCCAGCCCAGAGAACAGACCAGACCATGTCTCAAATAAATAAATAAATAAAATCATGCAGAAAGCCAGGCAAGATGGCTCATGCCTATAATCTCAGCACTTTGGGAGGCAGAGGTGGGGGGATCACTTGAAGCCAGGAGTTCAAGACTAGCCTGGGCAACATAACAAGACCCCATTTCTACAAAAACATTTTTCTTTCTTTGAGACGACGTCTCACTATTGCCCAGGCTGTAGTGCAGTGGTGCAATCTCGGTTCACTGCAACCTCTGCCTCCCAGGTTCAAGTGATTCTCCTGCCTCAGCCTCCCACATAGCTGGGACTACAGGCATGCACCACCATGCCCGGCCCATTTTTCTATTTTTAGTAGAGATGGGGTTTCACCATGTTGCCTAGGCTGGTCTCGAACTCCTGACCTCGTAACCCGCCCACCTTGGCCTCCCAAAGTGCTGGGATTACAGGCGTGAGCCACTGTGCCTGGCCAGCGGTTTTGAAAATTAGCTGAGTGGTGGTATGTGCCTGTAGTTCTAGCTACTTAAGTGATTAAGGCAGGAGAATCCTTTAAGCCCGAAAGTTTGAGGCTGCAGTGAGCTATGACCATGGCATTGCACTCCAGCCTGGGTGAGAAAATGAG